CATTTGGACCAGATGACCCATTGATATTTATGAGTAGTGCGATGTTATCACAGCGGCCGGACGAGTCGGCGATGCCATTTGAAGAGAAGAAGCTGAACGTAGAAAAATGAGAGGGGCATAATGTCCAAAAACGACACACTCTCCACGTAGCATTGACACGGCCTTTTGCCGGGCCAAACAGGGCTTAGGTGAACAACATAAAGCAATAGAAGCATCACTATTTGAACAATGTCTCACTCATTTCTTTGAGTGCATTTGGGGATTCCTGCAGGCGCTGAGATTCAGGCGACGGAATCTTATCTCTGCCTCCTACACTCAAAAAAATAAATGTGACAATTTATCAAAATTTTCGATGCACTTTTTTACCAGTAGGCCGAACAGAGAACGGAAGTGGCACTGATATATTTTCACAGGACCAAACTGGGTCGAAATGACCCATACAAGAGGAATAAGTGCATCATTATTTGGACAAAATCTCACAAATTTTTCTGGAAATCCAACCCACAGGGGGGGGAGCGGGGGGCTTTCATCAGGCGTCTGTGGTACGCAGTCCACAATGTGGACCGCAATTTGCATGCAAAAATCCCACGACGAAGCTCCCGTCAATGGGACCACAAGGCTGGGAATTTCCCTCTAACTCGAGATGGGAAATTCCCTCGCCCGAAGGTCTTTGAGAAATGTCTTTGGATTAACCTTTTCGCGGGATTAAATAAATCTTTTTCAGATTTGACCTAAATATTGACATAAATATCAAGGTTTTCATTTTAAAATTGTACTCTGAGTCAGAACCTCATTATGCTTGTCGTCGCCTAGCAGGCATCAAACTCGTCTGCTGAGCATTGCTCCGTATTACTGCACTCCACTGCTCCGTATTATCAAACTCTATTGCTCCATATTGTCGTACTCCACTGTTCCATATTATCACACTCCTCTGCTTGGTATTACCGTTCTTTTTCTGCTCCGTATTTCCTCACTCCACTTCTCCATATTACAGCATTCTATTGCTCCTTATTACCACGATCAAATGTTCCGTATTACCGCACTCCATTGCTCCGATTCCTGCACTCCACTGCTCTGTATCAACGCCATCTTCATCGATCCGGGATCGACTCAAGTAGCCGAGGGCAGCCTCAAACTGAGGGTAAAATATCCCTTCTTCAAATGGCCTAAGATCAACACGCGAGGGCGGCCTCAAAACTGAGGGTAAAATATCTCTTCTTTAAATTGCCTAAGATCAATACGCTATATAAACCATTACCGACTAAGTAAACTGATTCATTTTTGGAAGGATGATGGTTTTGCTACATCGATTATAATGAGAAGTAACGCAATTTTTTTTCATTATTTACAATTTTCCATCTGTACAGGTATCGATGTGTCCGAAGATTATATCAATCTCAACGAAGTTCTGATGCACATTTATCTAAATAGGCATTCGATTTGGCCTTTGACCAGCCTTGCATGAAATATCTTTAGTTTTCCCTATCTTTCATTACAATTTAACTAACCTTTCAATTAAGTCTGGTCTTCAATGAATATATGTTGATTTCACTTGATTTCTCTTTGCTTTTGAGTTATTTCTTGACATGAGATGTACGCAAATTTGCCACAACCAATATATAAGTTGTGGTGAATTAAACTTCTCTCATTCTTTGCTGCGAAATATCGTCAAGTGTCTTATTTGAAGAGCAATCTCCATGCTCATTTGAAACTCAATCGAGCTGCACAACACTATAGTCGGAAATTGAATCGAGCTTTACAACACTGGCTGTAAAACCAATCGGGCTGTAATACCCTGGTTGGAAGATCAATCTAGCTTTACAACGCTGTTTGAAAAATCAATCGAGCTATACAAAACTGGTCGAAAATTCAAACGAGCTGTACAACACTGGTCGAAAATTCAATCGATCTGTGATACATGGGCCGAAAATTCAATCGAGCTGTACAACACTGGTCGGAAATTCAATCGAGCTGTACAACACTAGTCGGAAATAGTTCTTCAATGATGAAATATCGCACGTTTAACGGCATCATCATAAGCTTTGACCACACGAGTCGATTCTGCGACTTGGAACGCGAGGTTAAAAAGCGAGGTTCAAAACGCCAGTCTCACATCACTACATTTAGAACGCCAGGTTTAGAACGCGTCGTTTACAATACCAGGAGGCTTACAACGCCAAGTTTAGAACCCCAAGATTTGAACGCCAGTTTAAATAACGAGGTTTAGAAAGCCTGTCATGCATCACTGGGTTTATAATGCGACGTTTACAACGCCAGGCTTACAGCACCAGGTTCAGAACGCCTGGCTGGCAACTTCAGGTTTAGAATGAGGGGGTTTAGAACGCCAGTCTTTAGCCTCAATACATATGGTTTAGTATAACATACAATGAGTACCAGGTCTGTATTGAATGAGTAACGTTCAACACACCAGCACAAAAACCTACGTGCATGTTTTCCTTATTTTGACCGACATTCGTTCCTTTTAAACGCATTGAGTCTTTACATCAGCGGAATCTACGGTACATATCGTGATGCTTTCATATAATAATGGTAAATACCTGTTCTTATAAGGACACTATAAAGGTGTATACAGTACTTGACCTAATGTAACACATACTGTATTCTGTTTGTGATGCATGTGGAGTGTGGATGAATATAGAAACTTAGAAACTGTGATTCAAAAACATTAATGGATTGGGAATGATTTTGCAGAAAATGAAATTTTCCACTTCATTCCCAGTGATATCCTTGACTCAGCTTACTCAAGTGACAACAAGTTGGATATTTTATTTGTAAGGCTCAAGGCGTCATTAAACTTATGTTGAGAAGCCTTGGAACTCATGTTGTGAACTTTTGAGTGGCCAGTTGTGCGATTCACGCCACTCAAACCAATAAAACCACTCACGCACCGATGCCACTCACGCCATCAATGCCACTTACATCACCAATGTCACTCTTGCCACCAAACCCTTCAGGCCATTCAAACCACTTACGCCACTCAAACCAATCGCGCCACCAATGCCACTCACACCACTCAAACCCCTCATGCCACCAATACCACTCACACCACTCAAACCCCTCACGCCACCAATACCACTTACGCCACTCAAATCATTCGAGCCATTCGTGCCCCTCGTGCCGCTCATGGTGATGCTACATGCGGCAATAAAGCAATCATTCGGTCTTTCCCCTTCATATTGTTTCTGCGGATACCGCGCTATCATTTTTGTGGATTCCCTCGCGGTTAGAACAATAATAAAAGCCAACGTCTGTGCACCGACGCCCCGCCGATGTGCAGCCGATGTCCCGCCGAAGTACCACCGATGTACCATCGATGTACCGCCGATGTACCGCCGGTCTCTCATCGATGTCTTGAATTAGCCTCTCACGGAAAAGTTTTTCCATCTTCAGCGAATCCAATTTCGATCAAACATTATGTTTTAATTTAGAATGCGTGCCTTTCAACGATCTTCCATGCTCCTTTCATTTTTTTGGATAGACATTAAGTTGAATGGAGCCAATTTTTCTTTGTTTACACTTAATGGGTAATGGAAATGCGCGTTTTTACGATATTTGCGACATTTTTGGTTTCTCATCATTCGACGCTTCAATAAACAGTGCGAATAGCTATTTCTCGAGCCTAATTATTTCAAATAGTTCATCATCCTTTGCTAAACATTTATTAATGCATCTCAATAATTAATCAGAGTCTGTTGTGATTGTATTACGCTTATGTATAAAAAGTCATATATTAACAATAAAATTGTTTTTATGTAAGCGTGAAAAGCACCTCAATGAAATCTTCGGATCAGAATACTGAATTGCTATTTATGCTATTAATGTCACGGCAATCAATGTCACGGCAATCAATGTCACGGCAATCAATAACACGGCAATCAATGTCACGGCAATCAATGTCACGGCAATCAATGTTATTGATAAGTTATGTAATATATCAATTAAATTTAACACAACAGACATGACTTTTGCAGTTACTTGTGAGCTGCAGAATTGAAATTATTCATGACTAAACATAGAATTCATGAATCAGTCATAGTGATGAGAAGTTTCGATCGGTAAATGAAGCTCAGTATAATATGACGTGAAAATAAATAAAATATGAATGCGCGTGAATGTGAATGAAATATGAGAGGGGAAGCTTCAGCTCAATACAATGCACTACTGAAGCAAATGTGCAAGTTCGCTAATGGCGAGAAACGGGGGAGCGAACCTTTGATGCCCAGGATGATGTAAAAANTTAATGAACTTTGGTGAGCGTTGGTGTACGTTTATAAGCGTTGGTGAACGTTAATGAACTTTGGTGAGCGTTGGTGTACGTTTATAAGCGTTGGTGAACGTTAATGAACTTTGGTGAGCGTTGGTGTACGTTTATAAGCGTTGGTGAACGTTAATGAACTTTGGTGAGCGTTGGTGTACGTTTATAAGCGTTGGTGAACGTTAATGAACTTTGGTGAGCGTTGGTGTACGTTTATAAGCGTTGGTGAACGTTAATGAACTTTGGTGAGCGTTGGTGTACGTTTATAAGCGTTGGTGAACGTTAATGAACTTTGGTGAGCGTTGGTGTACGTTTATAAGCGTTGGTGAACGTTAATGAACTTTGGTGAGCGTTGGTGTACGTTTATAAGCGTTGGTGAACGTTAATGAACTTTGGTGAGCGTTGGTGTACGTTTATAAGCGTTGGTGAACGTTAATGAACTTTGGTGAGCGTTGGTGTACGTTAATAAGCGTTGGTGAACGTTAATGAACTTTGGTGAGCGTTGGTGTACGTTTATAAGCGTTGGTGAACGTTAATGAACTTTGGTGAGCGTTTGTGTACGTTATTGCTCGCCAATGCTCATTAACGCTTAGCAACGTTAATAGGAGTTGGTGAGCGTTGGCGAGCGTCGGTGAGCGTCGGTGAACGTTGGTGGAAGTTGCTGAGAGTTGATGAGTGTTGAATAGTTGGTTAGCGTTTGTGACTTTTAAATAATTAGTGAGCGTCAGTGGGCTCTGGCGAGCGATTGAATGCGTTTGTGGCTGCGTTTGTGGCTACGTTTGTGGCTGCGTTTGTGGCTGCGTTTGTGGCTGCGTTTGTGGCTGCGTTTGTGGCTGAGTTTGTGGCTGCGTTTGTGGCTGCGTTTGTGGCTGCGTTTGTGGCTGCGTTTGTGGCTGCGTTTGTGGCTGCGTTTGTGGCTGTGTTTATGACTGCGTTTGTGGCTGCGTTTTTGGCTGCGTTTGTGACTGCGTTTGTGGCTGCGTTTGTGACTGCGTTTGTGGCTGTGTATGTGGCTGTGTTTGTGACTGCATTTGTGGCCTCTTTTGTTGCTGCGCTTATGGCTGCGTTTGTGGCTGCGTTTGTGACTGCGTTTGTTGCTGCGCTTATGGCTGCGTTTGTGGCTGCGTTTGTGACTGCGTTTGTGGCTGCGTTTGTGACTGCGTTTGTTGCTGCGTTTGTGACTGCGTTTGAGACTGCGTCTGTGACTGCGTTTGTGACTGCGTTTGTGACTGCGTTTGTGGCTGCTTGTGTGGCTTCGTTTGTGGCTTCGTTTGTGGCTGCGTTTGCGGCTGCGTTTGTTGCTGCGTTTGTGACTGTGTTTGTGATTGCGTTTGTGACTGCGTTTGTGACTGCGTTTGTGGCTGCGTTTGTTGCTGCGTTTGTGACTGCAATGTGGCTGTATTTGTGGCTGCGTTTTTGGCAGCGTTTGTGACTGCGTTTGTGACTGCGTTTGTGGCTCAACAAAGCCGAACAAACTCATCCTTCACCATCACGGCTGACGGCACTTTTTTTCCTCACTCTCATTCGCTGGAAATTCTATACGCAGACTAGCGCAAGAAAATATCAATTGCACAACAAGGGGCGGAGTTTTTTGCAGCGCAATTTTGCGCAGAATTGGCGCAGGTGCGGCGCAACTAACACTCTTTCAGCGCGCCAAATGAACCGTCGGCCCTTAAGTCTTTTGAGGATTTGCTCGTTTGTCTTGAGCCCAATTCCTCGTTTGTCTTGAGCCCAATTTCTCGTTTGTCTTGAGCCCAATTCCTCGTTTGTCTTGAGCCCATTTCTCGTTTGTCTTGAGCCCAATTCCTCGTTTGTCTTGAGCCCAATTCCTCGTTTGTCTTAGCCCTATTCCTCGTTTGTCTTAAGCCCAATTCCTCGTTTGTCTTGAGCCCAATTTCTCGTTTGTCTTGAGCCCAATTCCTCGTTTGTCTTAAGCCCAATTTCGCGTTTGTCTTGAGCCCAATTCCTCGTTTGTCTTGAGCCCCATTCCTCGTTTGTCTTGAGCCCAATTCCTCGTTTGTCTTGAGCCCAATTCCTCATTTGTCTTGAGCCCAATTCCTCGTTTGTCTTGAGCCTAATTTCTCGTTTGTCTTGAGCCCAATTCCTCGTTTGTCTTGAGCCCAATTCCTCGTTTGTCTTGAGCCCAATTCCTCGTTTGTCTTGAGCCCAATTCCTCGTTTGTCTTGAGCCCAATTCCTCGTTTGTCTTGAGCCCAATTCCTCGTTTGTCTTGAGCCCAATTCCTCGTTTGTCTTAGACCCAATTCCTAGTTTGCCTTGATCCAAATTCCTCGGTTCTCTTCAGTCCAATTCCTCGTTTGCCTGCAGCCAATTATTCGTTTATCATGAGCCAATTTGGCATTGTATTTGTTTCAGCCCATTTCTAAGTTTTCTTCTTCAGCCACCTGATGCTCCTGACGAGATTTGTGACAAAAATCTTTTCAAAATCAAAGTAAAACTTTTAGGTTTTTTTCATTATTTCCAGAACTTATTTTGCCTCGTGTGTAGCAAGATATTGTTCGAAAATTGGCAAACTGAGCTTGAATTGTCTGTTCTATTTTCGAGTCTGAATTAAAAAACGCGTTTGTCACTGAGGTTCGACGAGAAAAATGGAAAGCTCTACTCACAAAATGTGGATTCAAACTCTCATCAAAACTAACATATTTTTTCCGATATTTCGGTCTATTCAGTACAAAGGAATATTTTTAATCTCGGTGAATAAATAATATTTTTTATTCCTACAATATTTATTATGTCATTGGAAACTTTCCGCTTTGATTGAACTCATTAGTTCTTCTTACAGTCGACTAGTGCTAGCGTTAGCTCTCTTCCACCGAGCGCCCGCTCTTTTAATACCGCACTCCTCCTTTTACCGAGCGTACCTCTCTTTTACTAAGCGCACCTCTTTTTTGCTTAACGCACCCCTCTTTTTTACCGAACGCCCCCCTCTTTTTACCAAGCTCCCTCTTCCCTCACGAAACATGCCCTCTTTTTATGAGCCACGTACCAAAGATGCGTGGACTCCAATGCATTCAAGCCATTAGAGTGGACATCTTGCACTCAAACTTCCCGGAGATTTTGTTTTTTCTTTAAAGGCATCCGTTGGGGCATTCAAAAATGAGGATATTTTGTATATATATATTTCTTTGCTCTGAGGAAGTGATTATATCTCTTGCCTTTTCAGTTTTCTTGAAATAATTATATTATTTGATGTTTCAGTTTTTGTGGAATCTTCTATGCAATTCTTCACTTTTATGACGTTGATAATTTATTTCGACGCTTCCCTTTTTTTTTGACATTGATACTTTTTTTATACTTCGATCTTCATGTCATTCATCTAACTCTGATTTTCATGATTTTCTCTCAGTGGAATTGACTAAATTTTCTGACACTTCAATCTTTCCGGCAATGATGATAGTATTCTTCGATGCTGGAATTTTTCGCCATTTATTTTTTTATGTCACCGCGTCACTCATCAAGGTATTAAAGCAGCATATTTTAATTAATAATTCATATTCTAACTACTTTTATTCCTTTCACTCTATCGATGATGTCTGACACTCTCTGGTCCCAAATATTATCACTACACTCAGAAAATTGATGGGTCATATTGTCCAAATAGTGACTCCATTTCCTAACCCACAGCAGAACGGAAGTAGTACTGATACGCCATTTTGCTGTGTAAACTGTGTCAGGATGACCCACACATGGAAAAAAGTACATCGACATTTGGACAAAGTCTGATTCATTTCTCTGAATGCTTCCTGGTGGCACAATTATCAGTTTCTGAAGGTTGGCCGGCGCTGAAGCGGCCGCAATTTTCAATAGGGTGCACAGGTTGGCCGGCGCTGAAGTGGCCGCAATTTTCAATAGGGTGCACAGGTTGGCCGGCGCTGAAGTGGCCGCAATTTTCAATAGGGTGCGCAGGTTGGCCGGCGCTGAAGTGGCCGCAATTTTCAATAGGGTGCACAGGTTGGCCGGCGCTGAAGTGGCCGCAATTTTCAATAGGGTGCACAGGTTGGCCGGCGCTGAAGTGGCCGCAATTTTCAATAGGGTGCGCAGGTTGGCCGGCGCTGGGGTGGCCGCAATTTTCAATAGGGTGCGCAGGTAGGCCGGCGCTGAAGTGGCCGCAATTTTCAATAGGGTGCGCGTGACAACTCGATAATCAGCGACCTAACGCTTCTTCAAGCGGGTGACACGGCGGCAGACAGTGGCGTTCATTCAGGTGATAAATGGCAAATTTAAGTGATAAATGGCGGCGCCTGCAAAACTGGCCGGAATGGCCAGGTCCAAGCGGCGTAACTCGTTTAGTCGACGAGCAATTTGCGTGATAATTGAAAAGTGGGTCAGGGCATTAAAGTGGGTCTCATCATTAAAGTGGGTCTCATTATTAAAGTGGGTCTCATCATTAAAGTGGGTCTCATTATTAAAGTGGGTCTCATTATTAAAGTGGGTCTCATTATTAAAGTGGGTCTCATTATTAAACAGTTGCTAATATGGATATTCACGAATTTCTTGCAAGTTTTTTGCATTTCTGGATTATCCTGATGAAAATATTAAAAGTTAGTTTTAAATAAATGTTTCTACTGATCTAATATATTGTTCATATATATTGTAATATACTGTTACACAATATACTGATCTTATATGATGTTACCTGATATACTATCTGATATACTGTTACACGATTTACTGATCTTATATGCTATTACATGATATACTGTCTGAAATACTGTTACACGATATAGGTACTGATTGCATATGCTGCTCTACTATATACTGATCTGACACAAAAAGTTAAACGATCTCTTCTAAGATAAGATAAAAATACAAAATAATAAATTGTACAACAATTCCATGATTTTGGCTCTGAATAAGATAAAGGTATAGTACTTAACGAGCGTTGCATTCATTAACATTCACTTCATGAAGAGAGACGGTGAAAATTATTCCTGCGAAATTCCCGATAAATTATTATATAGCTTAGCAATAATATTATATTAGCTTACATTGTGGCACCAATAATGTGTCACACCAGGTTGTAGCAATATAGTCCTCTTAAACATACATTAGTACAAATATTATCTGATTTTACATTACATTACATTAACTGACTGTGCAAATTGTGGCACTAATGTTATCTGAATCACTCTGTAGCGTTCACATAATAATGAAATACCAAGCAGTACTTACAGTATATCACATGAATCACCATCAAAGACCTATGCTTCTCATGTCATTAGATTGAATGTTAAAATAAGTGGACATTAATTAAAATATATCAATTACGAAGTGATACACCAGGCAGCCAGTAAGGTCTAATTGAACCCCATGACCCCGGCAACCTCATCACCATAACACCATAAAAGCACCACAACAACACCATAACAGCCGTCTTGTGATGACATGTGATGATATCTCACCATCGCAGAGGCGATTCAACACTTCCGTTCACGCCAAGAAAACGGACGAGGGAGTAACAACTTTGCCACTGAAGAATGAGGGTAAAGAGGGGAGAGATGCAAAGGCTGGAGGTAAAGAGAAGAGAGATGCACAGGCTGGAGCAAAAGAGGGGAGAGATGCATAGGCTGGAGCAAAAGAGGGGAGAGATGCATAGGCTGGAGCAAAAGAGGGGAGAGATGCACAGGCTGGAGCAAAAGAGGGGAGAGATGTACAGGCTGAAGCAAAAGAGGGGAGAGATGCACAGGCTGGAGCTAAAGAGGGAAGAGATGCACAGGCTGGAGCTAAAGAGGGAAGAGATGCACAGGCTGGAGCAAAAGAGGGGAGAGATGCAAAGGCTGGAGGTAAAGTGGGGAGAGAAGCACATGCTGGAGCAAAAGAGGGGAAATTATCACAAAGTGGCTGGGGAATTGAGGGTTTCATTTAAAGGATACTAGGAACAATGTTAGGAATTTGTGAGGGTTTGTGAGGATTTGCGACGGTTTTGTGAGGGTTTGTGAAGGTTGTACAGATTACATGAGTTCTCTGTTATAGTCTCTACTATCTTGGAGTGCGATGTCATGTCTGTTGCCTTGGAGCCTTCTATGCAAATAACTGCAAGTTCATAGGACTAGAACAGCAGGAGACGCTGAAGACTCCTGCAGAAAGATATATATTACTTCAAAAATATAAGTAAATTATATCTCAAAATTGTACGTACGACATTGCGTTTGCTCATGACTATTCTATATCTATTCGCTCTCCAAAAAACACGTAGAGATTGACTTAAGGTTGATAGGTTAAATAGGTTAAATGAGTTGATTTTCTGCTCAATGAATAGTTGAGGTTGATAAGTTAAATACGATCCTGAAAATATATATTTATTGAATTGTTTATTCCGAGTGGGAAGGGAGCAAATCTCAAGAACGGAAAGCAAATCTTTATTTTCTGAATCATCTTTTTATTAATGTACATATTTTCAGCGTAAATGTATAATTAATTAATTATACATTTAATTAATTAATTAATGTATAATTATTTTC